GAGAAGTTGAACTAGAGGTTAACATTGAGCTCAAGCTTCTCATTTCAGTGTTTTAGGTGTTGTGGGAAGAGCTCACTGTTCTCGCTTCAAAATGTTCCCATGGCATTATAAGAATTACACTGTTCTCACTTCAGTCTTAGGTGTTGTGGGAAGGGCTCATTGTTATCATTTCAAAATGTTCCTCGGGCATTACCGTATAAGAATTACACACTGTTTTCCCTTCAGGGTGATTCTCGTGTTAGTAAAAAAAAACACTTTTCCATTCAGAGTAATAGTATTCCTAGTTTATTTGAGGCAGAGCAAACTATTGTTGTTCCTTGGGTGTTTAAGGCAAATCAGGTTGTTTCCAATTCTTAGGAATTGTAGGAACAGGACAATGATTTCATTTTGTTCCCTGTGTGTTTAAAGAAGTGTACACTCTTGTCCCTGCATAGTGTTTTTCTAGAGGGTTGTGGGAAGGATGGTAAAGCAATTTTAAGAGTTGCAGATAATTAATAGTAAGAACTTTGCGCTAAGTACATGTTTAGAATTCATTGAAATGTAAATAAATGGAATGAAACTGTAAATTACAAATAAGCAAAAGAAAAGTAGATTTGATGATATGCCAATTAATCCCAGTTTCTGTATAGTAAGTATAACCTTTACAGTTTATAATATCATGGTATTAAGTCTCAGAAGAAGTTACTAAGAAAAAAACTGAAAATGGTTTTAGTATTGTTTTTGGTGTGCTTGATTTGTACTATATTGTATTTCTACTGTAGATTCTGATGGACTTCAGTGTTTTAACTTCATTTAGTGACTGTTAAAACCATAACAAATTGCGACAAGCTTTTAGGCTTGACTTTCACTACAATGTAGCCATCCTATTTTTTACAGTTGATTTTTTCTATGTGGTCCTGTAATATTAGAAAAGTGTGTGCAATTTTATTAACTTAGGGACATAATCATATAAATTATTTTATCTTTGAATAACTACTATTTATTGTGGAGTGACTAGAAGATGTTGAATTTAGAGAATAAAAACAAGAGAGGGGGTGTGTTGTATTTTACTCATCTGGGCCGTTCAATGCTGGCTCATAATTTTTTCTTAATGTAGAAAACCTTTTTAGAATATTAAACAGACTTGCTTAAAAGATTTTTGTATGTGTATAAATGTACACAAACATAAGGTAACCTTTTATGTGTGATCAAACCTTAACTTAACATTTTGATGTAGGCATTACTTAATTACAAACTTATTAAGAAACACATTTTTGTTTGTTTCAGCATTTACTTAATAGTTGCAACATGTCCATAGTTAGTTTTTGCAATACAAGCACTGCTGGCTGCCACAATAGTTGATGATGTAATTGCCCTTTACAAATGTTGTAAAATATCCTTGATTCAAATTATGGGTTAAATCAGAGTGTGCTGCTATAGGCACGACAAATCAAGGAGATCAAATTCAAAATGTTATTTAGTTCCGATCTAAGCACAGACAACTGGGGGTAAAAGGTCATGGAGGATATTCAAAACTTTGTACACATTGTTGTGATAAATAAAGATTATTGAAACAATTATTTTGTGAGTCGTCTCCGAAGAATGTTTTATGTAAAGGTTAACGTACTTGTCTATTTCACTGCCTATTTACGGTATCCAGCATTTATTTTAGCTAATCTGTAATTTCGCTAATTCAAGATGTAGCTAATTTTTAAAATGAGATTGTTGGCAAAATGAAGTGAGGACACAGCAAATTCATGCAGAGTTTCACAAACCAAATCATGAACTTCTATTTTGGTTAAATGCACATGTACAGAGAATCAAAGTTGATTATTGATGCTGAATTGCATGCTTTCTGTCTTGTTCACCAAACTCCCATTTTGCTGTAGCAGCATCTGTTGGTACTGCAGTATGTTTTCCAATTTTGTGTAAACAATGAATTTTACATGCAGTTATGAGACCTATATTGCATATGACCACCACGACTCGACTCTTTATATGGTCATTATGCCCTTCTATTTGACTTTTTAGCACACATTATCACTGCATCAGTGAAGCTATTGTATTTTCTAGGTTAGTTGTGCAGTGAGCACTATATGAATGCAAAATCCCACACTGCATGACCAGATTTGAGGTTGCCCAGACACCTAGTATATAAGAATCAATTAAGATATAATGCCCAAATATTGGATAAACTTTATTTGTAAAAACTTCAAAAGAAGTGAAGTGAAACCATAAAAGCACATGCAAGACCAAAATAATTTTTTTTTGTGCATTTTGAAAACAAAACTTCCAGAATGATTAAAAAAAATTCTGTATACATGCGCTTCTAATAGATTTTGATGAATTTTTAACATTAATATGACTGCTACTCATGAATAGATGCACAATTACTGGGGGTAATGTATGACATGGATATAAAGTTGAACATGATCGACCAAGGCATGTCCAACGAGAAAACTGAGTCCCTGTTTTTTAGACAAATAAATAAACTACAAATTTAGATATTTTTGATTTGGTGATGCGTGTAGGGAATGAGCATCTGCAGACAAGAATTTAAAAGAATAAAGTGAGATCTTTGAATGACCAGAGGTTCTATTCATCTTACCAGTAGAGGGCGCCAAACAGTTAATAACAAAATAAAAATACAACTGGTACACAACAAATACAAGGATGTTTTCTGTTAAATTATTCAAACAATGTCACTTGTATGAATTAAATGCATACACATTTTTTAGTGACGCGACAGAAATCTCCATAGTCATTGGCAAATGAAACAAATTTCGAAACAAATATAACCAAAATCTGAGCCAATTCAGCACAAAAAATTACGGCAATCCAAATTTTTCTTCTTCAGACAATTCAAATGTCATGGAGAAAAGCTTTGCAGTAGTGTATGCATTACACTTACCATATTGAATAGAGAAAGATTCTTTTTAAAAAATCACAATACAGTATGCAAGCTAATGCATCATATATTAGTACAAGTAGTTCTTGGTAACAGAATAGTATACTATACCCTAACACAGATATGGCTTATTCATATTCATTCAAGATATCCAAGACATCAGATGACTGAGCCAACCAACAAGCACACAGCCACATGCCTGTCATCACATCAGAAAAGCAGAATTAATCAAACATTTACTTCAGAATATGATTTAATCTTACAATACTGTTCAAAAATCACTGTGCTATTTGCGTCTTACATAGTTGCGAAATACAGAAACTACAGGTATACCTACATAAAAAATACATGCAGGTAGCTTCCTATCAATACAATGTAACATTATCGCATTACTGATACTGGATAGATCAAATTAATTGAACATACTCATTAAACCGCATGGACAAAAATAACTCCATCCTTGTAAAAAAAGACACTGTTTTGAATAGTTGGTGCTTTGTAACTAGACGGTCTAAACTGAACAGTGCTTATATCATAACTTTCAAAACGACACACTTGTATATTACAACCTATCACTTATTCATCATCATCTGGCAAACTAATTCTATCTGGGTCTACAAAGTTTGGATTGATAAGTGGCTGACCCATAGCTTCCCTCTCTGCAACCACTCGTTCAGCTTCTCGTGCTGACCATACTCTACCAGTTCTGTATAGACAAAAAAAAACAAGTTTGAAAGTTTTCCGATGACAACCTTGCTGAGCATGTACTGGGTCAATTCTGCCATGGAATGAGATGGGAGGGGTAATTTAATAACTGTTTACGAGTACACTACCACGACACAGATGATACAAATCATGTCATTTTTCCTGCCCATCAGTGTACACATTATGAACATTGCATAAATTTTCAAAAGGCAGGCCAGATGCCTAATTTTAATACTACACCACTTGTAATACCTAGTTATTATTGCACCCCCTCGCAATAACACCTAGTTTCTATTGGACCCCCCTACTAACTGGGTGTTAATTTTTTAATAATTTAAAACGTCATAAAGATATTTCTTAGATTACTTTTTTAGCTCCACTTCATCAATGACGACAGAGTGGAGCTGTTCATATATGTAATTGTCTGCCTTCCATCATCAATTGCATTTTTGACTTTCTGAAAACTACCAAGCCTGATTTCATTGATATGTAGATACCTTGGGTGGACTTCTATCAGATTTGTTCATTTCTTGACAATATCATTAATTTTAACAAATATTGATTGCTTTGATATTTGAGGTGTACATAATTTTTGTGAACATTTTGTTTGATGATGTTAGGTTGACAGCCAGTCAGTTAACTGCGTAACAGCTGTGAATTACTTGACTTTAATAGATATTGCAATGTTCTTGTAAAACAGCTATTTCGTACAAAACAGAGATACAGTAAATGAAAAATGGATATTAAATATTCCAACAAGTTTTACTTATAAAATTGACAGCAATGTAACTTACGTGTCTGGCATATAATGTGCAAAAAGAGTCACAAACACCAGGAAAATTGATATACTACAGAAGAAAGTTAATTTTGCTGTGAGTGAATCCATGAAAGGATCATTGGAAAAACCATGACCAACATAACCCTGTAATTTAAAAACAGAAAATAACTTCATTAGTTAAAGAATGGCAATAATTGGGACAACTACATAATAAACAAGTCATCTGAAGATGACACAGCCCCCATTTGTCAGATGTGATTATAGTTGGCTATGAAATATAAAGTTTGAATGTATATGTATAAAATCTGGTAGAAAGATTAAGTTGAAAATCAACATTACAAGGCACATACCCTATATCGACATATCAAGTAAATTAACAAAAATTAATTAAATATGCAAATGAGCCCATTAATTAAGTTGAAACTCAATATTGCATAGCACATATCTTATATTGACAGATAAAGTAAGTCTATAACAAGTTTGGTCTTATTTGGACTATTAGCTCACAAGATATTAACAAAACATCATAAGATCAACACTAATGTCAGGAGTACAGCCTTATGAGCAACAATAGACCATTTTTCGCTCACAGCGAGAATCACGCGTTATGTGTGAAATCGAACATAAAAACAGGACAAACAAAGGACATAGTGTTATAGTGGCGTCGACAAACGCAAAAATAGTAATAATGTGCTGTCCACATTTGATGATAGACAATTTTGATTAAGTAAGGGTATTCGGAAGCAATATTCCTCTGTCGAAGATCGGCCGGTCGATGTGAGCTACGGAATTAAGAAATTCAAGTTCAAAATTAAATCGTTCGATTTTTGCGGCAGATGTTCGACGCGCGTCTTTCATGCATCTACATGCATGTATGGAAAATAACCTATTGTATGTTCACAGTAATGTGTTTTTATTTATCTGTTACATGCATCATCAACATTTCTATAACAGTGTAAACACACTGATTTACAGTGCACAGATACATTATCTTGTGTCACTTACTGGATCGTTGACATCATCTCTGACTTCTCGTTCACCTTCTCTAATTATTTCCTCTACCCTGAAAGATAAATATATTACCATATATTATTTTCAACATTTTCTTCAATTTATTATCCTTTTTGTATGTTTGATAATATGAATGTCATTACCTAAACACTGGCATTGAATCAAGCCACATGTTTTTCATAAAAAAAAAAAAAAACACAACAAATTTAAAATGTTGTGTGTTAATGTTCTATTTTACAACGCTGTCAATAACAGCGAATTTTATGACTTCATCACTGCACATTATTCACAAAAATCACTGCACATTATTCACAAAAAGTGTGGAAAGAGTTACTTAAGGTCCCTCTATCCCCCCCGCTTGTTTTTGTTTTCTTTTTTTTTATTTTCAATGCTTTTTATAAGGAATAATTTATTATGGTATTTGGGAAATGTGTTTTCAGTTACCAGAGCATAATACCACACAGTTAAACAATTTGTTCATCACCCATAACTCAAATTTAAACCCTGCCCCTTCAGGGTCTCTCCCTTCTAGTACCCCCCCTCCATTTCAATTGTATTATATATCCTTCTTTGGATAATTATTTGAAGGGGTATATTGAATTACATTAGGGGGCAGGGGATGGAGTGTTATGGTTAAAGAACTTGTTCCCAATTTGCAGAATGCCACTACATGTATTGAGACATTCTCTGTCAACTAATATTGGAATCAAGCACACTTTGTGCTCCATAAATGTTCTCAGCTTCAGCATTCCTCCATAATGGGTTGTCAGGGTTGTCCATTATGGTTCAAATCATGCGCACATGCAAAAACTATACACTGAGCATGTAATAATAAAGACAGTGACTGAGTGTTTTTACCAGTGAAAATCACAATATATTGTATGATGTCCTAGCTTTGCTTATTTATCATAAAAGTCTTATTAATTAGAATTTTACTACAGTATAAATCAATGTTTATATTATCTATATGTTTATAAAATAATTTTTACTGAGGTCGTGACCTTTTGTCTACAATTTGTAGTGACAGTAAAATAGTGTATTGAACATAGTTGTGTCCGAGATGAATAAATGTATTTATTAAAGGTTGTCAACGTTTTGAAAGAGAAAAATACGAATGTTTTTTCAATATAATCACAAATTTCTGACAGTGAATATTATACAGAAACTACGTGCGTTCAGAAAACAATATTTTTTATTCCCTGGTCCCACTCAGTCACGACGAGAGTTGATATGTTACCTTTTCGGGTCCACTTCTGTCTGCTTTCCCACCACGAACTCAGACTTCTTAGATTCCGACGTGGAACTAAATACAATAGGCTGATAAGTGGTGGGCCTTGGAAGCCTTGCACTTCTAGCAATTGCAGGTGCTAGAATTCGGCCAAACCGTGCAACTCGCATTAAAGACGCCATTTTGTATCCTGCAAACTTGGGTCGGGCGAATGCACTTTACTGATGGAGGAGCAGGCAGAGCCATTCGAATAAAAATCATTATATTAAGTAATCTATTGTTTTCACCATTATTTTTTTATTGACATTTGTATATTATTACTAAAATCTATTTTGTATCTCTGGGAAAAATTATTAACAAAATCAATAATAACGATACCCACCCCTAAACATAATCGACTAATCCTAATTCTGAGCTCTCACGCAACCCCCAAATCTCGCGAGAATACAGTCAACATGGCGGATAACTTGATTTTGTGAGTGTCTGCTACACATTGTTTTTACACAATTTTAAGGAATAACTATCGATGCATACTACAGACTATTTCTATATCGTGCGCTGAAGAAACTTTTATGATAAGAGTATGTATATTTTTTGTTAAGTAATTACTGGCGCCGAAAGCAGTGTTGATCTCAAGACTTTAAGATTAGTTTAAGTTCGGGACGACAACTTTTACATGTGTACACTGGCTGTACAGTGTACAGTAATCAGATGTGGATGGACGCATATATTGTAACTGCTGTATTCTACTATATTCAGTACCTCAGTTTGACAGACTGTCATGAATCCGCTGTTTTCTGGACCAATGGGAAAGTCTAAGCAGTCTTCGTTCTATAGCAACATAACTCATGACCCCAGTCAAAAACAATCTAGTAACGCCTTCAGTGAAAGGAGAGACGGTGCACCTGCACCGCACAAAAAGCCAAGAATATCTGACCAAGCAAATGAATTGGACCCTTTCGATGATTTTCCTGAGTTTACCACAGATGAACTGGAACAAGTCGAAGCTATAGAATTAATGGCATCTCAAAAAGTACAGAACAGTAAGACTCAAGAATTGAGTGTACATGTATCTGATAATAAAAGCAAGTTTGCTTTTAAACCAGTAAATACTACTATACAAGATGCTAGTTCATTAAATGTTGGGATGTCTAATCCGAAGCAGCATGCCCGACAAAGTAATCTGAATTTTGTCTCTCATGGAAAAATCCATCAACAGACTGCTTCTGCTACTGTGACTGCTTCCATTTCAAAACCCAACATTGACATAGATAGTACTGTTAAAAATAATGTTCAGTCCAATATTTCAAAGTACCCAGTAGTGCGTTCAAGTAGTTTCAATTGTACAGCAGCATCCATGCGAAGTAGCTCTGCAACTACCTCTGCAAAGCAACAAATGTCAGAGTCTAGAAATGCAGTTGGTCATCAAACTGGTCAGTTTTCTAAACTTGGTGGGACTGCAGCGAGTGCATTGACACCTGGCAGTGGATTTCTTGCTAAAGACTCACATTCCTTGCAAGTTACTCAGGAGGGAAAAGCATCACCATCATTGCTACAAGAGCTAAATGCATACAAGTCTGAGTGTGAGAAATACAAAAAACAGGTAAAACTTTTTGAAGAGTTAATGTTACTTTTCATCGTGTTACATTCATGTACATTGTATCTAAATAATGATCCTTTATTTTCACAGGACATATATTTTATGATTAATTTTTATCCATTTCCTTAGTTATCTAGTTTACAGGAAGAAAGATACAGGAAAGATGGGGAAATCAGATTACTAAGGGAAAATTTAACTACAAGCAATGATGAACTTCACAAAGCACAGATGGAGAAGATACACCAGAATGAAGAACTCAAAAAAGAACAGAAGAAAAAAGAAAAAGAGTTGGATCGACAGGTATGAGCCCATAAGATACTGTTCAGATTTTTACAATGTAATGATGTTCTTCTCAGCTAAAATCTTTGTACACATTGTTGGATTTTACCTCTGAGATATAATTTATATATTCATGTGTAAAAAAAATCATTACTGAATTTTTTTTTAAATAGCTGAATTCCTTCTTCATTCTACCCAACACCAACATTCGTGAATTCTTTGTAGCACTTTATGCAATGAAAAGCAATATTGATATTTTGAGTATTTCTCTATTGTCAGATTGAAAACATGAAAACACAACTGCAGTTTAAAGAAATGGAGATTGTTGAAATCCAAGATAAGTATAAAAGTTTGGAAAATAAACACAGAGCTTTGACTGAAAGTTCAAACAGTATCACACCGAAAAATACACCACAGATTTCTCAGGGTCCGTACCACCTCAGAACTGAACAGCTCAAAGAGGGCTCACCTGCCAAGAACAAAGGGGACCATTTTCCTACCAGGAAGTCATTTCATGCGCATACTCTTCCAGTAACACCACCACCAAAATCTCCTCGATTTAAACCAAGAACCTCAGGTAAGTAAACACAGTTGCTTGATACATCTCACTAATAGTGACATTTGGGTCAAAATATTTTGTTATATATGAATCAATGTTTATCTTCATTGTCATTCAATGTTATAAATAAACATTATATTATACATTGAACTATAACAAATCATTACGAATGAGTATCAAGTTTTGGGACGCATCCATTTTAATACAGAAATATTGAATTAATGCTGATTATACAGGTGGTACTTTTAATTGTTTACCTTGATGATATAGTGGCAAAACATTTTTAAAAAGTCAACTCAATATGACTATTTAGTGATAATATGTAACTTATTTGAACACATGTTAGCTGCTAAGTTACATGTTGTATGGTTCTGTGGCAGGGGTGTAAGCTTGTTGAATGATTAATATACAGTATTTTGTTGACAAATGTGTTACTGTTAAATAATAAATATGAACACTGAGTGGTAGAAACCAGGGAGAAAATTGAGATGCTATTCTCAAGTTCCAAACAAACAAACCTCCTCGACAAATCTTCAAAGCCTAATAAACACCCCCCATCCCCGGGAAATTTCCAAAATGACCGGTAAATGTTCCCTTGTTTCTAAAATGTGCTCTTACTGGTGAATATGCAAACTTTTCACTCTCCCTTGTAATTAGGAATATAAATGGACAACAAATGATGCATTTCTAGTAATATACTTTGAATCTCTTTCGGCCTACTTGTTTTCGAAGTGTTGCAATTGTTGTTTATTACTCAGTAGTAATTATAATAACGTACAAACAAAAGTACCATCCTAATATATAATAAACTTACTGTGTGGAATTTTTCGGGGACAAAAATAAACGTACCAGTTTGTTTATTTGGAACTTGAGAGTAGGATGTAGGAGCCATAATTAGGACAGAGTCTTGTATAAACAAGGAGGCATTATATGTATTCAATCTTAATGAAGGCAGCATACATACACAGAAGAGTATAGGGGTAAATTGAGTAAAAATGAGTAAAAATATTATTTTGCACAATGAAAGACATTGCAACCTTTTTCAGTTAAGCTAAATTCTATTGTTTTATTTATTGTGAAATTGTATAACATCTGATGTACATGTATTACCGGATTTTGCCGTAAATTCGCCCATCCGAAAAATCGCCCTGGGTGGTTTCATGGCTGGTGGGCCCTTATTTGGGGTTCAAATTTTTAAAAAATTATCATCAAATATTTTTAGGGGGGGGCTTATATTTTTATTGAAAAATCCACCGATTTTAAACGCCGGCAGTTGGACCACCCAAAACGAAAGAAACTATTCAAGAAGCTAATCTAAAATTTTATACATTTTTTTTCTTGCTGGATTAAAAATTAGACAGCGCAATTTTTAAATAAAAATGAACCCAACTGCATTGCTTAGTAGCAAATGATCGCGGTATCGCAATCCGGCCATGCTGCGTTTTACAATTGCTGATTATTACCTAGTAATGATTATAATAACGCAAAAAATAAATTCGTTGAATTTTTATGAAATGGAAATAAATAACAAATTATTTCATCGTAAGCGAATGATTCCGATCGCATTTTCAGCACTCGATGCTGTGGAAATGAATATCTGCCATGTTTTACCTGAGACGGTGTTCTTTGACCTGACAGGTCAAATCGATAATTAACCAATGAAAACGATGGATGATGCCAAGGTGATCAAAATACCATAGCTCATTTAAATATGTTAATGTTATTGAACGCAGTACGTGCAGAAGAGATTTGCCGATGTTGTTGTACGATCTTTTGGCTTGGATTTTGATGGGAAAGCGGCATGATTTGTTTTTAAATAAAAAAAATAGTTGTTTTCAAAAGATAAACTGAGCATTTGAAGAATAATTTAACATTGTTTACAGTGATAACAGCTCATTGTCGAAACGATAATACTCTTGAATAGGCGTCAATGACTACAGCGAAACTTTAGGCACCAGAAAAGATTAAAATAACACCTTAAAAAAACTGCCGAAAAATCGCCCTGGGCGGTTATTTGGTCCCATTTTATTTTTTTTAAAACCCGAACATTCGTTTAACGGTCCTGGGCGAATTTACGGCAGAATGCGGTATATGTCAAGTATCAACCACATTATTTTACAAACAGTCATCAATATATACTAAGAACTAGATTGTTTTTTGTAACAGCTGCTGCTTCTCCCAGCCATGTGTCCAGTCCCAGTAGAAGGGGCAGTGGTGACTTCCATGCTCAAAACAGACATACCAAACTGAAGCAGGGTAGAAAAATTAATGTGAATGCTTCTAGAGGTAAGGGAAAGAATTTCACATTTGGAGAAAAGTTTTTCACTGCTTGAATGACGTGAATGCGAGTATAAAAATTATTTACTGAAAAAAATATTGCTTTCTGTATTTTATTTTCATTGTGTACGATGGTCTCTTTTTGGATGATGTTGTGGTCCTGAAAAGACCGCTTTGTTTGGTTGGTTGTAATTTTAGAGTAGCGAATAATCAAAAGAGGCACTGTCCAGGAGACGTTTCAATGTTGGGATAGTGTGATCACTGGCAAAAAAACCAATGTTGCAACGATGTCGCAAATGAAAAAAATCACCCTTCTTGGCCTTCAGGTATTATTCGCCATTGCTTGAAAGGCGCATATGAATGACTTTTGCCATAACTTTTGCTGCATCTCGTTTCAAACTTGCCACCTTCTTTTGTTCTTTCCGTGTTACGATGGTTACAGCAAATCTATTGTGACGATTGTTGTTATCACGCTGTAGCTCGTATGGATAATCAATACGTAGCTGTTGGCAGTCCCCACAATGACGAAATCTAACAGCAAAAACGTAGCGTATAACAAACTGGGTGTATGTTTTGACTGGGTCGTTACTAAAATATTTTTCAACCAATCAGATCTACAGTTCTTTGTAATTCTGAGGCAAGATTTACAGACGTACAATTAGGTGTGAACCCAAGGTGTGAACACAGTCTTCAGATGAAAATAAAAAATACTTAAAAAATGTAATAGTTATTGAACGAAAAGGAGATTTGTGTGTGTTTGTTACGCTACAGTCATTTGTGTTGTCTACATGTAACAAATTTTGACGAGTCACGCAACTAAATTAAAACCCCAGTTGTTAGTCTGAGCAAGGAGGTACTTTCATGGTCTGAGCTAAAACAAAGTCAGTCTTGCAATTTGACCCCAGTTGTCACTCGCCGTTCTATGAGGTAAAAAAATGATCACCCAATCAAAGTCCCAGAATCACGCAATGTTTATCTACAATTTGATACAAATAAATCAATTTTTGGGGGACAAGCGACGCTTAGAATGTGTTTTTGTTATTCTCTCGCCATGCGTCAGAGCTTGGAGAACTGATTCACGATTGCGATGGTAAGTTGAAAGTTCAGCCAGTGAGCCAAAGCGGAAAAAGCTATTTTCCATTTTTGACGACAGAAAAAATGAACTGCCAAAGACCAACCTTGGTGAAAAAAAACTACAACCCACCAATCGATGAAAGTTCGACAAAGTCCAGCAAAGAAACGTCGGAAGTCAGAAAATCTGGTGGATTCTGTCGGTGGTACACCAGGAACCAGAAAGAGGCAATCGTGGCTTATGCAAAACAACACTGGCAGAGAGTCACTGCAAGGAAGTATGGTGTCCACCAAAAAAACGTGCACAGGGGGATGAAGGAAGACCAAAACAACCAACTTAGTGTCCAAAGAGTTTCAAAGTATGGCAATAAACCCGGTGCCGGTAAAAAGCTGTCTTATCCTGCTGAGATCGACGATGAATTAGTGCAGTTTATTTTAAAATTGCGTGACATTCAGGTCCCCGTTTCAACTCAACTAGTATGCCAAAAAGCAAAAGAACTTATTAAACCACACAATCCCCAATTCAAAGCATCGATTGGATGGGCAAAGAAGTTTTGTGGGCAAAATTTGTTTGTAATTCGGCGACGTACCTCCATAGCACAGCGCCTACCCAAGGATTCAGGAAAAAAGATCACAGCGTTTCATACAGTTCGATTTAAGTTTAATTGGTAACATGACGAAACACCTATGTACTTTGACATTCTTCCAACTACAACACTGAACGAGAAGGGCGAGAAAAGTGTCTCTGTGAGGTCGACAGGGGCAGAAAAGCGACACCTCACAGTTATTTTGGCCGTCACTGGTAGCGGTGAAGTGCTTCCATCGATGATGATATTTAAAGGTGTTCACCTAGTGGCGTGTTGGTGGATGTACAGAAGAAGGGCTGGTGTGACACCCAAATGATAAAGAAATGGCTGGAAAAAGTTTGGTTTAAATACACCTCGCCAATCCCTTTTGGTGTTTGATTCATTCAGAGGTCATCTGGATGACGCAGTCATCGGCATGATGAAATCAAGAAACGCGTACAGTGCTGTAATTCCTGGCGGTTGCACTTCCAAACTCTAAACCACTCAATGTTAGAATAAACAAACCATTTAAACAATATCTAAGGGATTAGTGGATGAAATACATTGAACGTCAAGTTAATAGTATTGATGCAGGTCAGCGACCTAAAACTGCTTCAAAACAAACATCGTCAACTGGGTCGTCAAACATGGGGAAACTTCAAGCAAATCCAGAAATGGTGAAGAAATCATTTCTCGTGACTGGAATTACAAATGCACTCGACAGCTCCGAGGACAGTCGCTACAGAAATGAAACATTGCAAGAAGATATCGAGTCGCCTGTTGCCATGAATTTACTAGTAGCAGATGATTCTGATTCTAGCAGTGACAAATCTGTTGACAGCGACTTCATACCAGGAAATCATTGAACGTTTTTTTAACTCTGATGATGATGACAGCGACGAAGAATTTCTCGGATTTTGAGCTGTGGAACTGTGTACGAAGGACATTGTTAAAATGATATTAAATATGAAAAATTAGTTGAATTAATTCAAATACATTGTTCACGTTTTGCTTTTTCTCCATTTTCCCTCTTCAATAGAGCATTTTATTTTCGTTATTATTTATTAAAAACAGTATTTTTATTTTTATATTTTCAATGTTTTTTGTCATTAATATTTAACGGTATTTAGATTATCTTTAAAGTTTGAGCTGAATATTTTGGGAAATATTTGCAAATTATCAACAAGACATTTATATTAAATTCAAATATTTTTTTGCCAGTTTTTTTTGTTAAAGTATTTAACTTTTTAATAACAGCATTTTTTTTATTTTCCTTTCAATGTTTTTTTTTTTTTTTTTTTTCATTAATATTCAACAGTATTTAGCATCAGCTTTGTCAAGATTATCTTGAAATTAATGAGACACTACATACTTACCTGCTACACCTTTTTGTATAAAATATTTTATTTTCATTTATTGCAATAAAATGTTATGTTTCTTCACAAATGTTCTCTATTATTGGCTCTTTCACATTACTGAAGTATTTGGTAATATCGTAGGCACCAATGTACAAGTAATAGTCACTCAAAATAAAGTGTTCTTGAATAAGCGTCAGTTGCTACAAATTGTACAAAATGGGACCCAATTTTGGTGTCAGGAATGAATGAAATGTTGCAAAACTGCCTAATTTAGAACATATATGGAACATGGTGTCTTCTTAAACATCAGTTTGAGGCCTAATCTTGCATTGCTTTAATTTTTGAGGAGAAGAAGTTGCAACATTTTGTAGCAGTGTACTTTTCATTGGGATTCTTATTACAGGGAGTGACTTAACTTCTTGGGAGTTACAGTGACTTTCATGTGGGTCTTAAGGAGTCACTGGCTTTCTCTGGGGTCCTAGGGAGTCACTGATTTTCACAAGGGTTCTAGGTAGTTACAGCGACTTTCACTGGGCTCCTAAGGAGTTGCAGACATTTTCAAGCGGTTCTAGTGAGTCGCATTGACTTTCACTTGAGTAAGAGGGAGAACAGTGACTTTTACTGAGCTCCTATTGAGTCTCAGTGACTTTTATTTTGGTTCTAGGAAGTCATAACATTTCATTCTCATAAACCCTTAAATCAAGTATCAACCTTTTCTATGAAATGACTCAACATTTTAGATTATATTTTCATTTAATTTCATTTACCGATATGTCCACTGTTCTAGCATCTTGCAGTTCTTCCCAACTTGTGAGTAAGTTATTGACATTAAGGAATGATACAACTTACAGCATTGAAACTGGAAATTCCCAAGGTTTGATTACCCTGTTACAGCTACCAGTAATTATGGACCATCATGCATCTGCTGAAATGGATGCTGAGATATCACCCTTGACAGCTGCCAGGTAAGTGCTGCATCATGAACTAAAACACAATCATCGTTTCATGAATGACACTTTTTATTGTTCAAATATTCATATCAATTTGCAATAGGTTGTGATTGTTTTTATTGCCCATATGTCCATCACAAGTCTTCTTTCAGATGTGCAGTCTGGAAATCAGGTAGTTATTTTACCATACCAAAAATCATCCAATCCAATTTCCTTTGACCATAGTTGACAATTAATTATTAGTGGTTTATATCATTATTTTTTGTAGAAGTCCTAAAAGCCAGTCACCAGGGAGATGGTCACCCATCAGATTAACCAGTGTTGAAAACCACAGCAAAGCATTACAAACAATGTCATTGCTTTTGAGTCGAAGGTCATCAGATACACCACCAAAACAGCTTGCGTCATGTAGTAATACCAGTGCCTTAGGACTTCTACCAGTTATACAAGATCATCTTATCAAGTACATTGACATACTACATAGTGTAGCTGAACCAACAGCAACCACAAACTCTGCATATTCCAGCGTGAACTCTACTGACAGTCTAAGACTCGCTGAATCTGAAAACTGGGCATTTATTCAGACAGAGAAAGCTACACTGAACTCACTTAGAATCTTACATGTAATGATATGCAATAGTTGTTGCATACGTACTTCCTTGCTGAAAGGTAGCTCTGATACGATTTGTGAGACACATAGTAGTGGACATACCCAAAGAACTGGTTCATGTAATGACACAAGTGTTATGGAGATTGATCCATCGGCACCTCTCATACCAGACACTGTAAGTTTAATGTTCCATAATGAACTTTTTAGCACTCGACACAGTTTCATGAAACTTCCTGGAATTGCTTATTCTTTGTGAATATTGCTTATTGCTATGCAAGGGTGTATGTGGAAACAAAAATTGTGATCACAGATAACATTTTTTAGATAAACATGCTGATCACAGAGTTAAATACATGGCACTCTATGAAGATAAATTAAAAACATGGCCGGTTATGAAATTATTAGATCTTTCACTGTATTTTATTTAAATTCAAGATAACATTGTGTCAGGCACTACATTTAAAAATTCAATAAATAAGGAAGTTACAATCAATTTTCTGAAAATCATTTGTTAAGTTTTAGCCTTGAAATTGGGTGCTCTCGAAAACCTGAAGTTTAGACCCTATTAAATTCCTTATGCGGTTGAAAATAGTTATGAAATTTAATGTTTTCCCTTTTACAGCAAGTAGCTACCCAGTCAAAGTCAGAATATCCTACTCACAAGGCAGAGGTACTCCCTACATGGTCAGATTGCCAGCTGAAACAGATACCGACTAATAGTATTTTAATTAAAGTTTTAAGAATAGCATCAATACATAATATGTATGGACAGAGTGGTACCATGATAGAAGCCACATTATCTGTACTATTATCACTAGCTGAAAACAGTCAATATATCCTACTAGATAGGTAAGTTACCATAAGTATGGACCGAGTTATAGTAAGTGTAAAAGTTTATTTTTGTGTGTGTGTATGTTATCCTTACTTTTTTCTGAATTGTCAAATTTAATAATTGCTCAACTCTGGTAGAAAGGCTTATACCAAAGAGATCAGCAAAGATAAATAAAGTCTATTATTATTATTAAAATCAATGTTTTACCAATTTTAATTTGACATATGAAAAAGTAAAAATTATCTTAATGCCCAGAGTATTGACAGAAGCAATGTAATAGTAACATCAAGTGTATGCAACGGCAAACGCAAAAACCGAGACAATTAGCTTTTTCACAATACAATTTGATTTAAAGAAATAATTGCATACATTATCTCATTGCCTGACCTTTGATCGATAACATGCAAACAAATTATGATAATTTTGAGAGCTTCTGGGAAAACAGTAATACACAGTGATAGAAGAAGTACAAAACTACATCATGTAGATCTAACATATGACAGATCATGCAACAAACATTGTACAGAACACCCTCCTATTTCTTTCGATATTTGCTGCAGTTGTGTGTCCATCATGTTCTTTCTAGTGGTTATAGTTGATGCTTTTTCTGAACATATATTTATTATCCTTGATTAACTCTTTGTTATACAGGTTACTACCACTTTTAACTGATGGAACGCTTCAAAACTGTTTGTCTTCTGATAGTAGTTATACTATTGTATTAACTGGACTCAAGTTGTTGAATGTCATCGTATCAAACAGAACAGTTGTATTCTCACTCTGCAATCAGTCTGGTAAGACATCAACATTAAATAAATAAACATACCTAAAAAACCTGTCTCAGATAACCTTAGAAACTCAAATAATTTAGGATGGAAGATTTCAGTAAATTTTTGTAGGTAAACTTCTGTTTTGCTGACTGAATGACAAATTAATTGTAACCTTCACTGAAGAGTTCAAATAGTTTGTCTTTTTTAAGTGTTTATATGTCTTCTGATATTTCATATACATTTCTCCGTTATACTTGGAATATATATATATATATAATATATGACAAGTGGGTTACAGAATTTGTTGGGGGTCATGCCTACTGACTGACAGGAAGTGACTTGTGGATACCCCCATGAAATGCTTTAGTCATTCTTTCTTTGTATGCAAACAAGAAAATTAGTCTACAATGTAACCACATGAAGAGGGGGGGGGGGGGTGTCACAACATTGCTGACACACGATCTCAAAATCAGAAGAGAGATTTAGCAGTACCAAATGGCGAATGCCACTGTGGGTAGCCAACAGGTGTGGGCAGAGCCAAGCTTTGATCTGTTTGTCACACCACAAAACACCAAGAGAAAAATTCAGGGACAACCTTGTCATATCGTTGCTGATTTCATGCTGCTTTTAGCTCAATGGACCATAGAATGATGTGTGGATGGATAGATGTGGGTGACCTCTTGTCAAAAACATTTGAACCATGATTTTTTGCTGTGTAGCTGTCTTTATGAATCTAGATGGGAATTTGTTCACGAGAAGTTGATTCAACAAAAATTAAGCAATTAGCTACAAAAAACTGTAAAAATGCATAAATGACTTCCTGTAAAGTACTTTATTGTCACTTGGAATTTATTTATGTTTTTTTCACTTAAGCTAAGAATCAGTAAAGGTAAAATGCAGTGAAAATGTCTTTTTTCCTATATTTTGCATTCAACTCATCAAATTTCAGTGAAAATAAACTTATAAAAAATAATTCCAGCTAAAATGATTTTATAGTACATGTACATTGTATAACGGTACTGTGTTTCCCAGAGTGCTGATTTGTTGCTCCTCTGGGCTTCTTTGAAATAGCCACCCAGTACCCATGTCCAGTCTGGCTGCCATGGCTACAATGTAACAGTGACCTTGTGTGACAGGCTATAGTTCACTGAGTTTATGTAACAAAATACTACATGAAAATATATCACGATGAAGTGACTTTATCATGTATTATACTATTGGGTAACATGCGCTTATTAGTTCCTGTTCGGACGCAGTCCGCAAACAGGGACTTATGGATTGACCTCTGTGCGTCCACGTGTGTGTGCGTCTGGACCTTTATCTTAAACATGCCAGGACCAATTACATTCAAACTTCACACATTCATCATACATAATATTATACATATGCACATCTATTTGTTTCATGATCTGATTCAAGATGGCCAAATGGCAGCCATTTTTGTACTGAAAAAATCATCAAAATCAAGCATTTCTCGGCTGTTTACAGATGGTTTTTGTTCAAACTTGCTATATACATTAGACATTATGGGACATTATTAGTCTCTGTTCGGACGAAGTCCGAAAACGGGGACTTATAATAAATAATCTCAGAATCCCTTGGACCGATTCCAATTATTCTTTGCATGTGCCTGGTACTTTATGTGGGACATATGCACATATGCAGTGGTTAAGCAAATCAATTCAAAATGGCCGACTGGCAGCCATCTTGTTTTTTGAAAATGTTGTATTTTGGACATGCTTTGTCAGTTTTTATTCAAACTTGTTACATAGATTATACATGTTAGAATACATGTCCATGATTTATTTCGCAATAGGATCAAAGATGGTCGACTGGCAGGCATCTTGTTTTGTTTTTTATATGCGGTATCTTGGACATGCTTTGTCAGTTTTAATTCAAATTTGGCACATACTTTATACATGTTAGGATGCATGTTTATGACAATTTGTTTCAAAATCTGATCAAGGATGGCCGATTGACAGCCATCTGACTTTTTGGCCTTACTACTATATTTCCACAATTTATGTACCATTTTCATTCGTATTTGTCACATACATCATACGTATCAGTTTGTTTCATAATCAGATCAAAGATGGCCGAATAACGGCTGTTTTTATTTTTGGCCATATTACTACTACATGGAACATCTGTTGTACAGGCCACTTGGAACTTAAGTTTCAAGGACATGCTTGCGACAACCCCTTCGCTTTAATATGACAAGCACAAAGAGAACTTTCAAAAATTTAACAGGGACTGTGTCATTTTCAATAATTTCCAGATAAGATTCAGAAGGGGACTATGCCATGCATAGCCTTGTTTATCCAACATCATAGCTTCAATTCACTACGTTCAATTACCCACCATAGACTCCGGTCAGTCAAAATTATTTTGAACTGTAGGCATTAATCAGCGATTCTGCCGGTGACGGAGAGATAGAATCTAGGTCATTCTTTTACTCCTTACGTCACGAACCCACATGACCGAGGCCACATGGCAGCGCCATAGGTAGCCGTCAATCTCTCTTCATTTTTTTCTGCCTCGTCGGGGAATGATTCTGAGCGGCTCTGCCTGGCTCTGTTGCTTTTTCCCGTCCGGGTTTCTAGCGTGGGTCGTCGCCACAGCCGCAGCATCCGACATTCTAGCTGGTAGGATAAGTTTTTCTTGTCTTTTTACCCTTGTGTCGTTTTCCCCTTTGTGTGTTATGCTTTTCCACAAAAAAGAAATTAAAACCCGTCGCCACTACGCACATTTTACAACTGTAATTCGTTTCCCTCATGCATGTCGTCTTTTATTTACAATGTATTTAGCAATATATAGATGTAATGACAGCACCAGGGCTCGCTGTCGTTCTCTTTCCGATCTCCTCGTGTTTCGAGTCGACCGTGCAGTGGTTATATTCAGAATTTACCAGCATAGAACCCGCATTCGAGATACTTTGTCATAGCTGCGTGCGAGGTTCAGGGTTTTTTGCGTGAAGGTGTGTGTTTTTTCACTGGAGTTCTGAGGCCTGAGATTTTCTTTCAGAGCCATCAAAATCACAGCAAGGTCACGCGTCCAGCAAACAAATCGGTTAAAGTGAGTTGCATGTTTTGCATGAGTGGAAAGTCCTCACGCTCGGCTACCGATACTTCGTGTAAGAGGCCCGACGGTGGAGGGCATCCTCACAGTCTGTTTTTTCAGACAGTGGTTTACCCGATTTTACTGGCTGCAGCGAGGCTGTGCCCCTGCAGGCTTTCCTCCTATGGGGCCCATTGCGGGTCTCTTTGTGGACCCTTCCTCGCACAGCGCCGGGTTTGCCTCCGAGTTGAGGGCTTTGGTCGAAGGACTGTCGGGGCAATTGCGTCCCTGGTAGGCCAGGTAGATCAGATGCAGTCGGAGCGAGCTGTCTCCACTGTGTCTCCTCGGTGGGCAAGCAGGAAAAGACACAAAAGCATGTTTGCATTCAAACACGTCTCTTCCGGGGAACCCCAGTTCCCAGCCGCGAGGCCGAGGCTCAGGCTAATTGCACTGGGCCTCCTCTGGAGCCTCCGGCACTGAATGCCAACAGGGTGCTGGCAGCCAAGCCTCCAATCTCGGGGCAGGGCTTTCAGGGCAGGGCACATGTTGACCACCCCTACTTTCAGCCAGCTAGGGTTCATCACACGGTAACGGTACAACGGTAACGAATTTATCCTTGTGTCCGGTCTCCGCTGTGGGTTTTGACTCCTTTCTTACTGACCCACGGGCATCCCCAGAGGGAACCGACCCTGTCATGAGACGCACACGAACACGCTCCCTCTCATATATTTAAAGTGAAAGAGGACGCAGTTCGCTCACGTCGGATACAGCCGGTACTCCGGGCGGTCCCTCAGAGTCTTCCATCTTTATGACTCGGTGAGCCACGCTTTTGGGGTGAGGCGGAGTATCATCGATCCCAGTGATATGATGTATATACCCCCACCCTTGATCCTAAAGCGACCACCTAAGACTGCTTCAACGCTTATGGGATCACAGGCATCGGGATCCAAAGCAACCCTGTCGGCACGTCTCTCCCTGTCCGTATGAGTGCGGAGTGGGTCGCAGAGCACGCAAACGGTGTTGATGGGCGGCGTTGGTCAGCCGCGGAGGATGTAATGCTTAAGGCCCCCGGGTGGGGATAACATTAGGCAACACTTCCCACTTTACCAAACACTACCCAGTTGGTGTGGTTTCGGGATCAGACCCCATAGCGTGGGATGAGACCAAAACCCACTAACCTGATTCCAAGGCTCCTTCCCCAGACCCCGGTACCACGAATTTGGCAAACCGGGCAAAGGGGGATAGCCGCGTTCTATGGGTGTCTTTGCCAATTGAAGACGATCCATCCAGCCCTGAGGGCAGAGTTGCTTGAGCGCATTATTGTGCGTGCCCAGGACTCTGGAAACCTTGAAGGCAGAACGCACCAGCCTCCTAGACCAGGCGTCATTTTTACTGGTGGGCCACCGCACATCTACATGCGACACCCCCAAGTGTCACCTGGCTCTCTTGGCCGGGGCCACTACTGTGCTACGAGACGCGGCTTTAGACGCACGTGTTTTCGCCGACAAGCTGAGCCGGGGTACGTCCCCTCCTCAGTGACGCAGACTGGACATCCTCCACCCTCTTTATTCAGGGAATGGTGGGTACAGTCTCGGAGCTTCGGAGTGCAATGAACCAGAGGGTTCAGATAGAGTCCGCTAGCCAGTTGGCCCTGCCATGGGCAAGCAGAGGGCACCCCAGGCACAGAAAACACCGTAGGGCATTGTCCGCTAGCCAGAGAAAGCCAGGAGGCAAGCGCTCATACCCTTCCATGGGAGGGAAGAGTAGTGGCACGCCCCCAGGGAGGAAAGAGCCAGGTGGTGGCTCCTCACCCTCTCTGGGCGGACGTCTACCCGGCAGCAGGGGAAACATGTTTGACACTCACCTCTGCAGGGGGGGGGGGTTCTGTGAGTGGCCAGGTCACAACTTAGTGACTACTTCAGGCCTTGGGGAACTCACCTCATGGGGGAAGGGAGCACCCCCCCTCGCAACTGCCGAACACATGGCCACATATCCCTGTCGTACACAGATTGCGCCGGTGTAGTCCGGTTTGGAGACAGCGGGTGACCGATCCCTGGACCTTTTCAGGTGGTGACATCCTGTTACGGGATACCGCTGAAATCTCCATTTCCCCCTGTCAGTGTCTACCCTGTTGGGCACTGCCAGGGGACTCAATCAGACAGGAAGTAGCAGTTTGCTGGGAAAAGGTGCCATACACAGGGTACATCAGCCGGAACTAAGTCCAGGTTTTACCCAAATGTGTTTGTAGTACCAAATCTACAAGTGGCGGGCATCCAGTTCTGGACCTAGGCAGACTGAATCAGTACGTGCTCCTAGATCGGTTCCACATGGAGACACCATTCAGGGTTCTCCTCTCCATCCACCGTTTCGACTGGCTAGCCCCACTAGACTTAAGCGGGGCCTACCGGCACATACCGATGCACTTAGCGAGTTGCCATCTCCTTCGAATTGCCCAGCTGGGCCAAGTATTCGAATTTTGGGTGCCCCCCTATTCGGGTTAGGCACAGCGCCCTACGTGTTCACCCAAGTGATGAAACAGGTAGTGCTGCTGCTTCACCAGATGTCGGTACACCTCAATCCGTACCCAGACTACTGGTTACTAACAACCCGGGCAAGGGGTTAATAGCCAAACACGTGAGGCTAACACAGGATTTACTTCACCAGTTGGGCTCGTTAGTAAATCGACAAGTCCCACCTTGACCCAACACGCAGTTGGTGTCCCTGGGCATGGGGTTTTGACACAGAGGTAAGCTTGGCTTATCGAGCGTGTTGCTTAGCGCTAAGCAGCCTAGCCAATTGCCTGGTCAGCGTTCCCTCAGTGTCCCTCCGAGAACTAATGCAGATCATCGGTATGATGACCTCAGTTCAAGGGTCGTTCCCCAGGCCGCCGCGTATAACGCTTGTTATAACGCTGAGCTCTCCTATGGGAACTAGATAGGCGGGTTTCGTTCTTGGACCAAGTGAAGGAAGCCCTGCCCTGGTGGTTGTCACTGGCCAACCTCTGACAGGGGTGCCCCTTGGACCCGCTTCCGCAGGTATGACTCTGGTAACAGATGCTTCCCCCAGGGTTGGGGAGCGCATCTATTGGACCAACAAGCCCAAGGATATGACCCCCGCATTAGTTTCGGGACAACCATATCAACCGGCTCAAACTGAGAACAGTGTACTTAGTACTACCACGCTTTCTACCCATAGTTCGAGACCGCAGAGTTCAGCTCCGCACAGGCAACGCAGCAATGGTCTCCTTCAAGAAGGAGGGGGGGGACGCCTTCCCCATCGTTGTCAGTCTTAGTGAAGCAAATCCAATGTGGAATACAATGTGGAGCTAACTGCACACCACCTTCCAGGGGTAAGGAACAGTCTGGCCGATACCCCAGTGGGTAGCCTCCAGGCTGTTTCGGCTGTGGGACGGTCCAAGGTTGGACCAGTTTGCCGCACCCTGAAACGCCAAGCTCTCGACGTACATAACACTCCAGGAGCCTGGGCCAGGGTCACTTTGCTAACCTCGTGGACCCACTTAGTGTGTACGCCTTTCCTCCCTTCCCATTCACCAGGCACAGGGGAAAATTTCGACAGGTGCACACCCGCATATTATCATCGGTTGCACTTCTGTTGGATATGCTAGTCGAAACACCAGCAGTGCTTCCGGACTTATCGGACCTGCCGTCCCAACCAGACGGCACACTACCAACGAGCTCAGCAGGTATCACTTACACGCATAGAGGCTCTCAGTAGACCCGCACATACGAAAGCCTTATCTGAGCGGGCTGCCAATGTCCTGGCCAGGGCAAACAGGGATTCCACCAATGTGGCCTACATTTCTAGCCTGCGAGCATACACTGATTGGTGTAGCGGAAGGGAGATTGATCCATACCCATCCCTCTATTGGCCAAGTAGCAGGCTCCTTTGCCCACCTGTTTGACGAAGTGGGTTTGTTCTACACAGCGATCGTTGGCTACAGGTCGGTCTTGCCCCCACCACTCTATGTACGGGAACAAAACTAGCCGATTGTCCTATTATTAGGAGACTATTTACTGCTTTCTGGACGCCAAGACCCCATACAAGGGAGCCGCCCAACTGGGACTCGTCGGCTGTGTTGTCTGCTCTAAGCAGACCGCCCTTTGAGCCTCTCCAATCAGCACCACTCAAATTTTTGACGTGGAAAATAGTCTTCCTACTGGCCCTTGTCTCAGGTAGGCGTCGGCCAGAGCTGGGGGGGGGGGGCATTGTCCTTCTCGGATGATGGACCGCCGTTATGGACAATCAAGTTGTACTAAAGACACGAAATCGGGTTTCTCGCCTAGAACCAAATCCCAGGACATGATCCTCACCCGATCGTCATCCCCCGGCTGTCAAATTTTGTCTGCCCGAAGGGTCAGGAGGAATTGCTTCTCTACCCGGTTCGAGCACGGAGTTGCCACCAAACCGTACTAAGGATTTGGAATGGGGTGCCAGGCACACATCTTTGTGTTATGGCCCAGGCAGGCAGGATAGGCCGGCCTCCCCAACTTCCATAACTAGGTGGTTTACTGCGACTGTATTAGAGGTCTAATACTTTATATTCCTCGACACAGAGCTCGCAGAGACACCAAGTACAAGCGCATGAGGTCTGTGCGATGGCTAACTCGCTAGTGCTAGCGTCAGGTCCCCCCTCGAGCACACATGAAGGGCAGGCTTCTGGAGAATGCAGAACGTCTTTATCAATTACCATCTAAGAGACACTGAATCCATTGAAAAGGATCTCTCTAGGTTGGGTCCCATCGTAGCGGGTCAGTCTTGGTTTGCTGACCCAGCCCGAACGACCGCTTGGGTCCCTGCGCATAGGCAATAAGTCAGTCCGGCATTTTATCCGGACAGATTTCTCTACCATCAGCACTCCCCTGGGAGCTCCCAGGTCCCGCTTTGTGGCCTATGCCCTCATGCAGAACTGTTTCGGTCTTTACTTCGAAAGTTTACTCCCCCCCAGAATTTGGTTGGGGGTCTAGCTTTCTCGGGTACACCAAACCCTGTCACCGTAGCAGCATTTTGGCTCCTTGCTGCGGGGACAGCACAGGCAAGGTAAGACACCACCCTTTTTTGGGTCTTAACTAGGGTGTTGAGTTTGTTTTCATCCCGGACTGAGAAAAGACTTTCATCATTTTTTCTGTTTGCTCGGAAAAACCCGCCACCATGTGGCCTCGGTCACGTGGGTTCGTGACGTAAGGGGTAAAAGAATCTTGAGGTTATGGGGCTTCCCCTGACCTAGATTCTATCTCTCCGTCACCGGCAGAATCGCTGATTAATGCCTACAGTTCAAAATAGTCATTTTGACTGACCGGAGTCTATGGTGGGTATGAACTATGTGAATAGTCGGGTTCGGAGAACCCTCGCCTAATTCTGGCTACCCCATACCTAGAGTTGTTGTTGACATTCTCACTCATGAGGGGGACATGTCTACAACACAAGAGCTGTTCAATTTTCACTCATACAAGGTTTCCTCAAGCTTAGGTTGGCACATGGGTTTTCTTGGTTCCCACAGTGACTATGCCCAAAAATTTCCAACCTAGCTCACTCCAATTGTATCAGAGCCACTGGCTACTCATTCATAATTGGTGTGTAAAACAGCACTTTCTTTCTATCACTTTATCACAGTTAGTAGATGTTTTGAGCTTTTGTCCACTTTTCTTGAGTCTCGTACCAGAGAATCTAATTTAACACAGCATCTACAGAAAACCTCTATAGATACCCAAATTAGGTGGGAGAAAACAGTACCAGCTGGCGATGTTGAAGTTGAATAGTACAGGGTTTGACAACATTATGATTCTGACATTTTTCGTTTTTAGATTCCTGTACTCTGTTACGGTTATATCAGCTGTGTGTTAATGGAGTTGATGGTGCCACAGAAGAACAGTGGATAGCAGTAGAGAAAAAGGTAAGTAAAGGACCACAGGAATATATCTTGTTCAACAAGAGACTTTTGTGACATATACAACATATTTATAATTTATTGTTTGTTCTCATGAAATTTGAATGCACACTGCACGTACATGTGAAATGTAATTATCAGTCTCAGCTGGAAGAGAGAGGGATTTATTTCAAGGGAGTATTCATTAATGTTGATACTTATTTCTGTAAATTGCACTAAATGAAGTTGTAAAGGTACATAAGAATGCATGGGTTTCTATTACTGCAAATCCAAGTACATAATTGTTTGTTTGTAATATGAAAAGGCACTAGATGGCTGTGTTTCTAATAATGACACTGATTATACACATGGCTTTGCTATAATTACAGATACTGCAGTTTTTCTGTACAGTGTTTTCATGTCACCATGGAGCTGTATCACTATTGGTGGAGAGTGACTGTGACTGTAGTATTGAGCTTGTCAAATCTATCATATGTATGATGTATAAAGAGTATGCAGCGTACAGTCGTAGAACTCACAAATCTGATAAAGAAACAAACAATGATAGGTAGGTCTGTCTTTATGTATGAAATGTATATTACAAAGCTGGATGTAACCCTGTTGAAAACAAACAAATCACTGCCATTGTTTCCTTTATGGAATATTAATAAATGGTTAGTGAAGTGATTTATTTTAAGACAAACTGCAGTATGCTTTGTAAGTTTTGAGGGAATATACATTCTTTGTTGTTTTGTGACGGGTGTCTGAAAAATACTACCGGATTCTGCCGTAAATTCGCCCTAGGCCGTTAAACGGCAGTTTGGGTTTTTAAAAAACAAAATGGGACCAAGAAATCGCCAAGGGCAGTTTTTTTTTCTGATGCCTAAATGTTTCATCGTAGTCATTGGGCCCATTCAAGAGTAGGATGTTTATAGCGACTAGCGTGAATGGGTAATCAAAATCCAAGCCAAAAGATTGTACAGCAACATCAGAAAATCTCTTTCGTGCTGCATTCAATAACTTTAACATATTTAAATAAGCTATAGTAATTTGAACACGTAGGCATCATCCGTTGTTTTCATTGGTTAATTAGCGATTTGACCCATCAGGTCAAAGAACACCGCCCCAGGTCAAAATATGGCGGATATTCATTTATACAGCATTGAGTATTTAAATGTGATCGGAATCGCTTACGATGGAATAAGTAGAAATTTATTAGCATTCAATAACAATTCAACAAATTTATTTTTTATTATTATAGTTATTATAATCATTACTAGGTAATAACCAACAATTGTGAAACGCAGCATGCAGGTATTGCGCTACAGCGATCATTTGCTACTCAGCAATGCAGTTGTGTTTGTTTGGAGAAAGATGCGCCGGGTGACATTGTAATTACATTTTAGGTGGTCTACTTTTTAATCTAGCAAAAAAAATGTATAACATTTTAGATTAGCTTCTGCAACAATTTCTTTTGTTTTGGGTGGTCCAACTGCTGGCGTAGGTGGATTTTTCAATTAAAACGTACCGGTAAGTCCCAAAAAATATATATGATGATCATTTTTTGAAATTTTGTACCCCAAATATGGGCCCACCAGTCGTGAAATTGCTCAGGGTGGTTTTTTCGGAAGGATCCGATAATACATGTATTTGTTTTCAAGTCATCTATAATTAATACAGTAATTCCCATTGTTGAACAACTTTCTCTCACTCAATAGCAAGTGTATCTAATTCTTTTCAGCATTGATGTCCTACGAGAGGGTATATTATTATTACACTATTTATGTATATATGATAGACTATTTATCTCACACCGTCTTGATGTAGAACATTTATATGTCAAAGTTATATCATCATTGAGTGCCTTGTACAAAGAACTTCCTGATATCTCTGAACATGAAGGTAAACTAATATAGCCTCTCACTGTGTGTATTACATCATGTGTCTGTTGATTCAGGTTGTACCATGTGAGATCCAATTGATTAATAGTATGAGGTTATTACATGAAGGTAGTATGAGTTTATCGATGGACTGGTTGTTGAGGTTGACTTGAGTGCATATTTCGCAGTATTCTCATGAATGTTTCTGCTTGTAGTCATAATCACGTGAGATTTTACAGCCCAAAGTGATATCAGTACATACTGTCTTGTTGATGCACCAAAGTAAACAAAGAAAATTGTATAAACAAGACATTTAATGTATTATGTACATTTTTCTAATAAGACTCATTCAAACAAAAACATCAGTACTACTTTTGTATACATTGTTATGGACTGCTAAATTGTAATGCTTTTATTTTATAATAACACGAGAATATTAACAATACCAGAATTTACAGCCGTGTGCATCGTACAGCAAAAATATTGACACAACGCATTGTGAACAATACTATAGCATACATGTACAATGCATGAGGACCTCAATTCTGATATTTTGTGTATAACCTTATTATTATCTGCCTTTTGTGGACGCGGCTTTGACTTCACTGTCCCCACACTGCTGTTTCAAATAATATTGTAATATGTATATCTTTGTGATCATTTCTTTTTCACCATTGTAACAGTGTTGTAGAAATCAATGGCCATGCAAATCATTTCACAGGTTTAATTCCCCCTAATCTGGCACATGGTGAGCGAAAGTGTCCACCCCTAAAAACATGATTTTGTGAGCTTATACAGTACTATATTATTTCGGCACAAAGAATAAGACAAAGTATAGGCCTAATTGGCTTCTCTGTTAACTCACAAGCAAATTATGAGTGTCATATGCTACGCTGCCAAACTTGAGCCAAGTTTGCTTAAAAGTGCCAAAAGTACTGTATATCAGATGAGTATTTTAATCATAAATAATGTCTATAATAAGATCTATGTCCTTTAGCTTATATGGTTTTTGATATTCAGTATGGCTCAGAACCTGCCGTGTCGTAAATTTTAATCATTTCTATTTGTCAAAGATAAAGGTTGGCATTTCTTAAAAAAGTAGTCATGGCCTTACTTATGATTTGATAGAGTGCACGCATATAGTGTTTTCAATTGTACAAATTTTGAATATGTAACTGACAATGCCTGTTGGCAAACTAGCGATATTTTAACTGACCTGTATTTTCCAGCATCTTTAAAAGATAAAGTATAGTCATATATATATTAATTAAATAGATGCCCCACTATTATTTGGTTTGTGTTTTCATTGATCAAGTGGAAAAGTCAAAGGTCAAACAATGAAGTACAATAACAGCGCCATAGGTACAGAGCTACATGTAGATGTATAATAATTTTGTATATTACACTAATGTTGTCTTCTTTTACTCGTATTGCAGCCACTATTATTCAAGAATTGTGGGATTTTGATCAACCAGATGAGATATGGTCTCAGGAAGGGGAAGATGAAGAGGAGTTACAAATGGAAGTGGAATAACAATCCCTTTTTCTCCATTTCATTCCAACTAGTTGGGTATTCCACCCTCATTTTCACCAGCTAATAACTATCAACAAGTGGAAACAATACAGCCAAACTTGTTTTATGTCAGATTGTGTGTTATCTGTCTTACATTCACAGCCACCCATTTACTTTAACTATACAGAACTTACATGTAACACTCTTATCATGATTACCAGTAAATACTATGCATATGTTTGTACTCGCTTATTCTGGGTAAACATGCCTATTTTCAAATAAATAATTGTTTATTCTGTCCATTACTTCATGTTTGTATTGCCTTACTAGTTTATTGGGAATCAATGACGGTCTGAAAGCAATGAACATACCGGTAATAATATACTTAAAAAGGTTTTTAGTATTCTGAATCGTGTCATTTTTAACTTGTCTGTATGTCTTTAGAAACACCATGAGAATGTGTGGATTTACAGATACATTGTATAAACAGTTGAGTTAATTGCAAATGCAATTTACAGCACTCTGACAATTCACAAATGTGTTTCGGAATACGAACGAAAAAAAGATAAAATTGAAACATTCAGTAATTGTTGGTATTGTTAGTAGTGCACAGCACTGAATGTATGTTGAGTTTAATAATAAATACAAAAGTTTTTTTTTTTTGTTGTGCTTAACACTTGAGATGACCTTTCTAATACTCATTTTTCCCCACAAATCAAATCAGTCATTCGCCATTCTGCTTGATGTTGTGGGTTTGAACCCCCTTCTTTGGCCAACTATTTTTGCTAATTGAGGAAGAAATATATCTTCTTGTCAACACAGACATTGCACCTTGACTAAAGCTGCCCAATCTTTAATAGCCAAAGGTTTGATCACAAAAGATGCCACAATTATTTAGCAAAAAATTAAACTCTGCATATGAATATAACTGTGGTTGGTTTATAATTAGCAAAAAGACAGACATGGATTTCCAAAAATAAACTAACACCCAGAACAATCGGCCACATTACTAAAAGTAGTATCTGTTCTACTAATATCTCAAGGACTGCACTACAGATTTTAATGAAACTTGAAATGACTAATATTCGATGGGTTTAAATTTCACTGATTTAGCATTTCAGGAATATTCAGTGGGATTTAAATTCAGGGTTTTATCATTTAGATAATGTGTTCTATGCTAAATTTTACATATTCACTGGGTTTTAATTTAGCACATTTTCTAGTCCAGTGAATAATTAACCCTTTTACAGTAGATGAAATCGATGTATACTAATTACTAATATTAACAAATGTTTTCAATACCAAAAGTATGCCAAATGTTCTATAGGAATTGATTCTGGTCCTATATGATAAGCAGTGACATTCACATTGAAAGAAATTTGTTTTTAATATGTGTACCAAATGTTTTTAACTGCCATGCGCGAAGCACACAATGGGAGTCTTTGCAGTTAGTGTGTCTGCCTGTCTGTCTGTCTGTCCATCCATTCCTCCGATATCTTAAGAACCATATTCTGGTTTTAAATGAAACTTTGTGCATAGATGCTCTTGGCTAATGCACAGATTTGATTAGGTTTTGGTAAAATTCCATGCGTAATAATTACCTTATTTTCACGATAATTAGATAATTTTTAGCTGTTCCATGACTTCCACTGATATCTAAAGAACCACTCATTTGATTTTGATGAAACTTGGCACATAGATGCTCTGAACTAATGCACAAATGATTATTTTGGGGTGAAAGTCCTTGCATATTAATTACCTATATTGCATAATTATTAGTCAATTTTCGGCTTTTCCACTGATATCTCAAATACTAGTAGTAGTACATTACATTTTACTAAAACGTGGATAGATAATCAAGGACTATGCATCAATTGTTTTAGGGTGAATCACCTACTTTGCATAATTAGTTAATTTTCAGCTTTTCCACTGATATCTTGAGTACTAATCATATTTTAATGAAACTTGGTACATAGATGCTCTAGGACAATATACAGACCTGATTAGTTTTGGGTTAAAATCTGTACGTATTAATTATCTAATTTGCATAATTAAACCATTTTTAAGCTTTCACATTGATATCTAAAGTACTAATTATTTCATTTCAATGAAACTTGGTACATAGATTCTCTAGGACAATGTACAAAGCTGATTAGTTCAAAATCTTTTCATATTAATT